CCTTCTTGATGCGCAATTTTTTTTTGTCAGTGTATAATAAAATAGCATTATCTCATATCATGGCCAACGAAATTATGTAATGTAATTAAAATTAAACTATATTACCATCCCTAATTTTCTGTGTATTACATGTATACTTTCCTTCCTTTTCTTATAATCTCAAAAATATTCGTGTCATTCATCTGTTCCGTTTTCTCTATCTTCACCTTCTATCTTTTATATCAAGTAATATTAATATATTTTATGCTTTTTTGAAACATTTTAATTCATTCATTTTTAACTTTCTGAAATATTCAGTTCGTTTCAGAAAAATCTTTTAAGAAACACTAATTTGTTTTTTGATAATGTTTCTAATATAAAAATGTTCATTGTTACATTATTTTCATATATTAAGTTTCTTGAAAAATATAATATATATGTATACATTAATTTTCGTAAATAATATTTGATTCTTCGTGAATTTGTCGTAAAATATTACATTTCAAATCTATAATTCAATTTATGTGAGAATTTTTCTCATCACCACAATACTTCTAATTTTTCCCAGGAAAGTTACGCAACTTGTTGCTGGATTTATTTTTTGAATTAATAATGGTAAATTGGGACTGAAGATCTTTTTCTAAGTATATCAATGTTATTAGTGCATAGAACTATATTATAATTTAAAAGCAGCTGTTGTCTAGAATCCATCTTTATTAATGATCTTCATCAAAAGATGTCGTTTCTCATTACTTATTTTATTGCACAATATTTCCTATAGAAAATCATCCTGTGTTTTGTCTTCTAGTGTGAGTGAGATATCAGATGTTTTAATTATCGCTTTTACTCATAAAATATATTATTTCGAGTATGAAATTGAAATGTACTGTACAGCAAAATTATTAATATGCCATTGCAAATTGTTTATATCTGGATTTAGAAAAAGCATTAGATAAATCGGCTTTGTGTTTTTCATAGAAAATAAGCTGGAGATGTTTGAGCTTTGTTGATAAGTCACAAAAATGTTTTATATAATTAATCTTGCCAATTAATAGAATTATTTTGTTCTATTAATAATATTAACAAACTTCCATCTTGTTTTATTTATTGTACTCTGTATGATCACGATGCTCTTTCAGGAGCAACTCAATTCTACAAGAGATAATTTTAATAATGTGTAGTTTCATTATTGGGTCCTGAACGTCGATCCCCTTAAATAAAAATTTTTTACCATTTTTTCGCATATCATCTTACAAAAAACTCAGAATATTTTTGATGGAACAGAGTTTTTAAGGTATCAAGAGAAGCATTCACTTAAATAGGCGATTAAAGATGATTGGACAGTATCAACTGAGGATGTGGATATTCTCAGTGATCGGAAAGCATAGAAACTTTTAAAGAGACAAAAATTCAGAGAGGTTACCAAAAATTATTATAATCAGAAACATAAATGTATACAATAAGCAACATTATATGCTATTTTGTCGTTACTTTCTCTTCCACTCTTTCTATCTCTTTGGCTTTTTGTAACATAATGACTAGTCTATTAAAGACTATTTAAGATCATGCTTATTATTTCTTTGTAGAATATACTATTTATCATGATTCTGAAATAACATTCTTTACGATAGTCACTTTTTAAAACAATATCAGCAATTTTTCAAAATGAAATTTAACAATTTTTGTCTTCTGTAGTTATAAGACAGTCGGATTATAAGTCTTACACCTTTTAACTTTGCATTTTTCGGGATTCCATTTCTATAACTGTTTGACATTGTAAAAATTAACAAATTTTTGTATGTCAATCTTTTCAATTTAAATTTATTCACATATTTTCGCTTTAAATTAGCATTATTTTATTTATTATTCATTTGCAATACTAAAATATTTATTTGCAAGTTCCCAAAAACATTTTATAGAAGTTACTTGAAAGAAAACATTTTATAAAAGAAAATCGAATGATTTTTCAGAAATTGCTAAGCAACAAATAAATAGAATAAAATAAAAAATAATAATAATGATACTTTTCTGTATTTTTTTCAATTAATTGATTAATTCAAGAAATTAAATTACCTACAGCCATAGAAATTCTGTAAAAACTCTAAAGGAAAAAAAAACAATCAAAATGTAAAAGTATAAGAAAGAATTGTGTTATTAAGGAACAAAAGTGAATCGATTCTAAGTCCACTGAGGTTTTCCTAGTATTTATTTTCAGACCAAACGAAACATTTTCTAATAAAAATGACTTTTTTATAGAGAAAACTGCTCGAAAACTTACATTTGAAATAATGAAGATTATCGATCCAAGAATGAAACAAAATTAAGTATCGATATCGATCAGATCAATTAAGATTGGCTATTTTCCTAATACTCTTGTTATCTTAGAATAAAAAAAAATTAGAATTAATCAATGTAGTAAACATATTTCTATTTCAAGAACATTCATGTAACTGTACTGTATTTGTTATAGAACTGAAATAAGAGCAGTCATCGATAATGCAAACAATGAACCGATACTTTATGAGTTTCCGATAGTATATTTATAGCATTAACTGGGTAAAAATACAACCGTCGTATAAAACCTAATTATATTTGTAAATTTTCGTTTAAATAATAAATTTGTTTAAATTGTTTGTTTTTTAAAAAAATAGTTTTAAAAATTCATTTAAGACTAAAACTAATAACATAATTCTAATATGCAATTTTGCTGATTTGGCAATTGTCAACACGAAAATTAATGACTTAAAGTTCACCACACTTTCTCAGACTGATTAATTTTCATATTTATTTTTAATACACTCATATGATTAAAGGTTTAAATGATAAAACGGAAAAAATTATATTAAAAATATCTTTTAAAATTGCTGATTCTAAAAATAAGAAAAGGACTTTTTATTTGTTAAATGACTAATATTTAAATTAAATTTAGTGGCGTTTATACTTTCAATAAATTAATTATTATAATCATAATATCGTGAATATTTGGATACAATAACACCGGAATACTCTAGAGACATTAAGTCGTTAATAATGATTTTCCTATCTGTTAATTTCACATAGATATAATTTTAGAATTCGATCCGATTTACCTATTTAAATAAATATAGTAAGATAATATTATTTCTTCGTAAAATAAAATTAATCCAGTAAACATTTCTGTTTTTATCACAATTAGAAATTAATTCCTAATGATAGTGATTAGCCCTTTATTGATTTTTAACTTGTAATTATGTATTTATATATTGCCAAATTAAATAAATTTATACATGAGAAAATAAACAGATAAATAAGAAATATGATAAAAATATAAAAATAATTATTACATTTATATATATATATATAGGCCTATATTATTCATACAAAACATGCCGCCTTCATAAATACAGCAGTAGCGTGGCAATGTTTTTGTTTGGCCATTACTGTAAGAAGATGCCAAGGTTTAAAAACTCCATATAAGAGTTTTCCGAGATACTATAGGTGTAGATTTCATTTTAATGGAGATAATGTCTGCGAATATATGATTGCACTCGTCAATGAGTGTTTTGACATTGAAGTTATTCGTCGCATGAAATGACCAACAAGATCTCCGGACCTACTGTAAATCTCACAAATACAAAGCTCTAGAAAGACGAGTTGCATTCTGTCAAACTCCACCAAAATCACACAAGGAAGCGTGTATGCGTGCAAGACGCAACTACACACAATATTTATCATGCTCTGCGCGTAAAGGTTTACGAAAATGCTTAGTACCTTTTATTGTTCGCTGTTGTTTAGTTCATAAAGAATGCAATGTTCCGTTTGTGTATTAAGTTTCACGCTATTCTGATTAATAGTTCCTGAGACATAGACCAAATGAATGGTTCTGACAATTTCATTTAAATTGGTAAATACTATTTTGGACTTACATTAGTATTTAAAGCTTCTCGCTAGTAATTTACATGGTATTATATTATTTTCAATATTAATGAAAATCATAATTAATTCAGATGAATTTTATTACATAATAATTATAATTATCATCACAACGTCTTTTTAATGGGATTATAAATGTAAACACAAGCCTGCTGACGAGTTCACTATAGAAAATTTAACAGTAAAAATATAAAAAGTTAGTGGACGTAATTTATAACTTGTTCGTAGATTAAATTTTTTAAAACCATTAGTTGAATTAGATGAGATTTATCGTTGAATTTTTTAGTAAACAAAGAAACTTTTGTATTTTGATTATTTTATTAATACATGATGCTATTTTTCTTTCGATTAATTCATTATTTAATAGCAAAGTAGAATTTTATTTAAAGGCACGTCAATAGAAATTCAATTTGAAATATTCTATTTAGATCACGTTTATTTAAAACGAATTCTTTCAATTCCGGTAAGATTAAATTAAAACTAGATTTTATAATATTAATTTATTTTTTATTTTGAATTTGATAATTTATAATAAACACTCGTAATGTATAATGTTTATTGTACTGTACATTAAAGAACGATGCAATAAAATTATTCCCATTAACTGCTTTCGTTATTGAAATTTTAAATTAAATATATTAATATTAGTTATTACTAATTTCAAGGCCTTTCAGAGATCGAGAGAGTTGCGGACCATTTACCTTTTGAGGACTCAATTGATTAAAATAAACGAAAAAACATTAAAAAACTGCATTGCGTTTTTTTTAAATGATAAAAATGACAAAAATAAAAGTCGTTAAATTAACACGCAAGAATACAATGGAATGAATAATTTGTAACAAACGTTTTTGAGGCTTCTGTAAATGAAACCATGACTATTAATCCTATTAATACATGACTATTAATATCTTGCCCATTAATGGTCTGTACAGTACATGCAATGGATCTTTAATTATGGTACTGTGTAATTTATAATTTTTACAATTAAAAATGTCCCCCCGTTTATCATAAAATTTGCTAATACTAAATTTTATAGATCATATTTTAAATATGCTAAAATTCTATGCAAAAATTTTAATCTTAACAGAAAAAATTATTTTATAAAATACCTTTGGACTCATTTTCAAAAAAATTTCTCTCGCTCCATTCTCTTTTATTTTATTGGCTAGATTCTAAAGATAAAATTCGATTCATCAGTTGTTATCAAATAATACAAGTGACAAATAAATTCCATTTTCATTAAAACTTACTTTTAGAGCGTTTGGGACATCCATACTTTCTACGTTTTCACAATTAGATATAAGTTTAGAAAAATCGGCTAATAGTTTTTCATTAATTTCTAAAATACATATAATATGTAATTAATGAACTTATCAGAAATCTTAACACTATTATATTAAAAAAATTCTCTTCATTTACCTCCTTGAATTTTTGTCAAAGCCATCAAAATGAAAGAATTCAATACAGATGAAACAGATGAACAAATCATATGTAAATTACTCGTCTAATAAAATATTTTAAGATTTAAAATAATTTAGAGGAAAAATCTATGTTATATTTTGTTTATTTTAACGAACGATTCTTACTTCAGAATACAATGGTTGCGTCTGAGTTATGACTGAGTAAAGTTGATGGGATGAAGTAAAAATATCAATTGGTAGATATTTATTTTTCATTTCTTCTTTGGCAATTTTCAATTTACTTTCAGTTGATAAATTATCCTATTAATAAGAGATAGGCTTAAAATCGAAAATATTGTCATTTGTAGGAACTGAATGAATCTACGATCTTTCTCATTAAGCAGAAGCAATTCTTGAAACTTTCCCAATAATCAAAACAAATTAACATTTTTATCCGAATAATTATGCAAAAGAGAGATCAAAATAATACTTTTTAATTGCACGATTAGTTACAAGTTGGAATAATATAAGACTTGCATAAAACTAGAGATGAGCTTTATAAAATGTTTGTAATGTTAAAAGATTAGATTAAAAATTATGTTGATCTTTTATGTTTTGAATAAAAAAGTTTTTAATTACAGTTATTAATAACAATAAGCGATGAAAAATTACCAATAGGCTACGGTAGTCGGTAATCTACATTTTAAAAATTCTTTCGTACAAATTCGTATTAACAAACGAAATGTAATGTCTAAACTTAAATCAATAAATTTATTATAATTTTCATTTTAAGAATTGCCTAAAAAATTGTATCTGGTATCTATGTTTTGTTGATTGTTTAATAGTATATTTCAACATTATATATATTAACATGAAATAATGTACAGTTTATAAGAAAATTATATGCAGAGTTAATAATATTTTCTATTAAAGAATCAAATGATTGATATTTATATGAAAATTTAATATTTTTATGTATTTTTGTTACAGTCGTATACGCGTATAAATATTCTACCAGTATATGTTGACTAATACAATCTTTGACATGATAAAAAATTGTGCACCCAGATAGAAATATCTGATTACTGCAAAAGTCAGCAGCATACAGCTATGTCACAGTTGAACTGCAACTGTACGCCAGGTATTTCCAGCAGAGTGCCTTAAATTAGCTATCCCGGTATAGCTCAAAAAAGCTCACTGCGTTTGGTATTTTCAATGTGCCTGTTGGAAGTGTTGAATACTAAGCATGCTTGTATGTTGCATTCGAAGCATTCGAGCAATTGATTGAGTTTGAGAAAAATCGCATCATTGGGCTTTGAAAAACAGAGTAATCGTTTCGCCGAATTGGCAGTCATCATGAGCGATCACATTTCACTGTGAGAAGTTGCCGGCAGCAGCAGCACATGTAGGAGGGACATGAATATGTCGGAAAGACATCTGATTGACAGATAAACAATCTTGAGAGAAGGTCGCTTAATATATTTCAAGGCAGGTGTAATCGAATTCAATGGTCTTTCTCTCCAGCATTTAAAGACAGATAATATGCTTTGAAAACCGAATATCACGATTCTGAAGCAATTTACAGAGACTGGACTGCATTCGCGGTGCTCTTTATGTCCACTACCATTAACACACTAACAAAGGTTGCTTCTATCTTTACATTAAAACAGTGTGTTCTCAGAATGGCGGATCATTATCTTCAGTAACGAATAACTTTACTAAAGATAATGATCTTTAGTAATGAATAACGTTTCATCACTAGATTTAATGCGCCGCCAATATGTATATGCATTGATACAGTATAATAGGTTGTATGGATACAGATGACCATACGGAGGAGAAGTGGGGTACACCAAAATCCCAACTTTATCGTTGAGCGTTACACTGCCAAAGCTGGTGATGTCTTGGCGTGGAAGCATTTCCTATGACAGTCGTTATTAATAATGATCAGGAGGCATTGATTGATCAATATGTTTAGGTGATCCTACGACCAGATAGATGTGTTGCCTCGAATGACACGTCTATAATGAGTCATTTTTCAACAAGATAACGCTAGCCCACACAACTCGAATTCCTTAGTAGTGCCTCTATAATGTTGACACTTTTTTGGTGCGGCCGGTGTCCAGATTTATCACTTATAGAACATATGTGGGACTTGCTGCGATGGAAATATCATTTATCAACGAGTGTGCAGAATGTGGAGAGTTAGTAACAAAATCGCAGGAAAAATCTTTCTCAAGATAGAATAACGCATATCTATTATTCCTTACGAGACCGCATCTCTGCATCTCCGAAAGAGGGAATATTACAAGATACTAATTGTAACACTAAACTATATTCGTAATTAACATATTGATATTTAAATAATTTATTTCCGTCCTCATAATCATAGCACATATGGTTTCATTCGATTTTGATGTCTCCTTCTTGATGCGCAATTTTTTTTTGTCAGTGTATAATAAAATAGCATTATCTCATATCATGGCCAACGAAATTATGTAATGTAATTAAAATTAAACTATATTACCATCCCTAATTTTCTGTGTATTACATGTATACTTTCCTTCCTTTTCTTATAATCTCAAAAATATTCGTGTCATTCATCTGTTCCGTTTTCTCTATCTTCACCTTCTATCTTTTATATCAAGTAATATTAATATATTTTATGCTTTTTTGAAACATTTTAATTCATTCATTTTTAACTTTCTGAAATATTCAGTTCGTTTCAGAAAAATCTTTTAAGAAACACTAATTTGTTTTTTGATAATGTTTCTAATATAAAAATGTTCATTGTTACATTATTTTCATATATTAAGTTTCTTGAAAAATATAATATATATGTATACATTAATTTTCGTAAATAATATTTGATTCTTCGTGAATTTGTCGTAAAATATTACATTTCAAATCTATAATTCAATTTATGTGAGAATTTTTCTCATCACCACAATACTTCTAATTTTTCCCAGGAAAGTTACGCAACTTGTTGCTGGATTTATTTTTTGAATTAATAATGGTAAATTGGGACTGAAGATCTTTTTCTAAGTATATCAATGTTATTAGTGCATAGAACTATATTATAATTTAAAAGCAGCTGTTGTCTAGAATCCATCTTTATTAATGATCTTCATCAAAAGATGTCGTTTCTCATTACTTATTTTATTGCACAATATTTCCTATAGAAAATCATCCTGTGTTTTGTCTTCTAGTGTGAGTGAGATATCAGATGTTTTAATTATCGCTTTTACTCATAAAATATATTATTTCGAGTATGAAATTGAAATGTACTGTACAGCAAAATTATTAATATGCCATTGCAAATTGTTTATATCTGGATTTAGAAAAAGCATTAGATAAATCGGCTTTGTGTTTTTCATAGAAAATAAGCTGGAGATGTTTGAGCTTTGTTGATAAGTCACAAAAATGTTTTATATAATTAATCTTGCCAATTAATAGAATTATTTTGTTCTATTAATAATATTAACAAACTTCCATCTTGTTTTATTTATTGTACTCTGTATGATCACGATGCTCTTTCAGGAGCAACTCAATTCTACAAGAGATAATTTTAATAATGTGTAGTTTCATTATTGGGTCCTGAACGTCGATCCCCTTAAATAAAAATTTTTTACCATTTTTTCGCATATCATCTTACAAAAAACTCAGAATATTTTTGATGGAACAGAGTTTTTAAGGTATCAAGAGAAGCATTCACTTAAATAGGCGATTAAAGATGATTGGACAGTATCAACTGAGGATGTGGATATTCTCAGTGATCGGAAAGCATAGAAACTTTTAAAGAGACAAAAATTCAGAGAGGTTACCAAAAATTATTATAATCAGAAACATAAATGTATACAATAAGCAACATTATATGCTATTTTGTCGTTACTTTCTCTTCCACTCTTTCTATCTCTTTGGCTTTTTGTAACATAATGACTAGTCTATTAAAGACTATTTAAGACCATGCTTATTCTTTTTTTGTAGAATATACTATTTATCATGATTCTGAAATAACATTCTTTACGATAGTCACTTTTTAAAACAATATCAGCAATTTTTCAAAATGAAATTTAACAATTTTTGTCTTCTGTAGTTATAAGACAGTCGGATTATAAGTCTTACACCTTTTAACTTTGCATTTTTCGGGATTCCATTTCTATAACTGTTTGACATTGTAAAAATTAACAAATTTTTGTATGTCAATCTTTTCAATTTAAATTTATTCACATATTTTCGCTTTAAATTAGCATTATTTTATTTATTATTCATTTGCAATACTAAAATATTTATTTGCAAGTTCCCAAAAACATTTTATAGAAGTTACTTGAAAGAAAACATTTTATAAAAGAAAATCGAATGATTTTTCAGAAATTGCTAAGCAACAAATAAATAGAATAAAATAAAAAATAATAATAATGATACTTTTCTGTATTTTTTTCAATTAATTGATTAATTCAAGAAATTAAATTACCTNACTACACAATCACCATTTTGAAATAAACATTTGTTACTGATTATGGATAGATCATGAATGAAAAATCACTGTTGCATTTGACAATAAATATAAAATGTTAAAAATAAGGACTATTATATGTAGTGAATCGAATGTAAATTCAACTGTGCTACAAATAACATAGTGTAATTATTAAGTTATAAGTTATCTTGTCAATATTTTCTTGTTAAAACTTTATGGAATTCAATCTGTAAGATTACATCAAAAATTCCTTGTCAACTGATTACTAAATGTATAACTTTAAAATTATATCTGTTGTATATTCAATTTTCATTAATGCAATAAGTATTGCATCCCATTCTAAATTGTTAAAACTGTAAAAATGTATAAAATTATTCAACCAACCATGCAAATTACTATTATGTAAGCAAAAATTTACTGTTATTTTTATTTTTAATACTAAAAATTTAGTATTAGCAAATTTTATGATAAACGGGGGACATTTTTAATTGTAAAAATTATAAATTACATAGTACCATAATTACATTTCAGTTTTATAATTCAATTTATGTGAGTATTTTTATGATAATGTAAAATGAGCTATTTCATGTAACACGAGAAACTCTCAAATACTTAACGATGGCTTTATTCCCTGTAATACACTATTTATTATTTCATTTACAAACCCGTAAAGCTTTTGATTTCATCCAAGTACATTGCTACCACATCTGGTTATTCATTTAATCAATCACTAATTATTTTAGAATTTTCGTTCACTTTCATAATGTAAATCTACTTTTATTTACCAAGTATTTTTTTACATATTTTCGTATACTGTATTTCATTTATCTTATATCTTTCTTAAAATATCACTAATTTGTTTACCTATGATACTCTGAACTCTTAATTATCATATTTATTACATATTTCATATACTACATCATCTTTCACTTTAGTATCGCTTATTATTTAATGTTTACAAATATGATCTAAGATTGTGTTCATCTACATGCATAAGAAAATATATTTTTGAGAAAAAACTAACAAATCTTTCTCCATATTTTTTATAACTAAATTTTTAATAAGTTAATATCTATTTTTATTTATTATATGAAAGAAGTCTACAAATGTCGCTTTGAAATTTCATTTATTTATATCTCCAGCTGTAATTTTTTTCGTTGCTGATACATATTTGTTATATCACAAATTTATCAAAATTATTTTGTAATAAATATTTTGTATGAAACTGTTGTTTTGATGGAAGTTTTTCTGTTAAACATTGCTCTTAAAGAGAGACAAATAAACTGATTGATTGACTTAATGTATTTCAATGTTGAAATGATTGCACCAATAACATATAAAAAGTTTTCATCAAAAGTAAATGAATTTTGAATTGAATTTCATATATAATGCATAAGCTTATAAGGGAATGCATGATTCAGCGAGGATTAGTACTTCAGATAATTTCATATTTGATTAATAATAGCTTAAAGAAATAAAGAAATTATTTAGGAAAAAAATGAAATTTATGAGATCCAGGCTATCTAAAAAAATGCTCGATGATCTACGTTATTGTTCGAACGGCTAAGTTTTAAATGCAACACATAATAAAAAACAAAATAACTTTAGGAAAATTCTACTAATTTGTGTAGGCCTATGTTTTCTTTTAATCTAATAACTAAACTAGACAATTGCTCGCTAAGTTCTCAAAATTATGTTAAATCTATTAGAAAGTTTATTTTTTGTGCTTATTGGAAACGATCGCAGAATCATTTTACTGAAGATTTTAATTTTAATAAGATTTAAAAAAAAAAATTAATCTGTTACCCAAAAAATACTGATGAGTTCCAGTATATTTTTTAGCTTGGAATTTACTCCGTATCGAAAAATTGCAGAAGACTGTAGCTCATTATGATTATCCAGTATTCTTCCAAAAAGAGATAATTCCCAGCCGTAATTATCCTCACTAGTTTCATCACTACATTTTCTCAAAATAACCTAAATTATCGTTTACTCATTGATTAGATCTATATTAATTTAAAATACGGATATAATTACATTATTATATAATTCAAAGAAGAAAACTTACATCGACAATTGATATAAAACAATGATTAAAGCTTGTTGGAAGGGCATAACTTGTTTCAGGGATATATACATTATACGAAAATTTTTCTTTAAACAATTGTGCCTTGAGAGGTTGACAATTATTAAAATGTTAATTAATGAGAGAAAATATAAATTGGGACCTTTTAATAGCCAAAAAAAGTTACCTGGAATTCTAGATCAAATAATTTAATTACTGTCGATATGGAAAGAGGAGATAATGCATGGGGCATGACTTCTCTAATAATAATATGTACAGTACATAATAAAGAAAAACTTTTATAGAAATAAGATATATAATAAATACATTTTAAGTTATTAATTTAATACGCTGAGATTTTAATTAAAATACAACAGAACTCAAAACTACACAATCACCATTTTGAAATAAACATTTGTTACTGATTATGGATAGATCATGAATGAAAAATCACTGTTGCATTTGACAATAAATATAAAAGATATTTTATATATAAATCGAGTTTATACACAAATATTGTGACACTCTTGTGGGATCAAATCATACAAGGAATCAAGTCATTCACTGTTTAAGAAGTTTCATTATTGTCTTTTGGTTTGTCAAAGATGCATTTCGGGCCAAGCTCATCGTCAAACTGACAGAGAATATAGACAAATAGAGTAATATTACAGTGTGATTGGATGACTTACAATATAATACGAGCAGTAAAATCTGATGAAGATGTTAGACATTTTAACCTCACACAAACAACTGCTGATGAGCATGGCAATACCAATATATTATAATGATGTTTAAGAGGATGGACTCCACCCACGATTCTCTCCACTCTGAAACACGTTAAACATATCCAGTTGTAGAATTTAATTATATTTATGTGAAATTCATTAATTAGATGATATATGTGGTGGTCTACCCACAAAACCACCATATGTATCATCTAATTAATGCATTTACATATACTGCTAAATTAATTCTACATTTGGTTGTTTATGGAGTTTCAGAGTGGAGAGGATAGTGTGTGGGGGTATCCGTAAAAAATTATTATAATGCATTGTTATCGGACTTAGAAGGCTGAAACTTTCAGGATATACAGTCGACCCCCCTATAACACTGTTGATAATTCCGTTTTACATGTTGTACAAGTCACTTAGATTTTACAAATACGTGTGCCGGGCTGTGAACAGCTCACGTATTTGTAAAATCTAAGTGACTCGTACAACATGGAATTCATATAAAACGGAATTATCAACAGTGTTATAGGGGGCGACTGTACATAACTTAATTAGGAGTGGATGAAATTTAACCTTTGAGTCTTAACGTCAATCGGTGGATCGCAAAGAAAAATCAGAATAGCTTATTATCTTTTTTTCGATTTTAAAAATGAAATTTATTCAAGTAATCTATATTTTTCGACAAAATTAATAAATTTAAATTTTACGTAATATGATTAATTAATTGTTAAAATTACATGATGACGTTTGTGAATGTGTTTAAATTTTAACGAAACGAAATAAATGATCATTATTTTTAGATGAATATAAAGCTACATGCTTTAATTTCGATATTAAATTATATACGGTTGGTAATTTTTATAATATAGTAATTTAATTCGTTGATTTAAAAAATAAATTTAATTTTAATTAAACAAAAACTTTACTTATTTTTTTTTCATGTGTAATTGTGAAGTTATAACAATTCATAAAGAATTTATCTAAGGCCTATTAATTTGGTTGGATAGGCAATTTTTTTTTAAATTTCCAATTTATTCAAATTTCTATATTTAATTATCGATTTTTCACATTGATATTTAAATTCTTTTAAAATCTTCTAGCATTAGTTAATACTAAACAGATAAAAATACATAATCTAAAAGCCTAAAATAAAGTTAAACTTATGAGTACTCAGAATGAACCATGGTTTAAAAAAGCTAATGTATTAGTTAAATTATGACAGTTCTAATTGACTAGTGAAGCAATATATAACGATAACTAAGTCATTACATATTTGTTAACTTGACAAAAATAGTCGCAATTGGTTGATTTTCCGTCTCAATGACTTAAACATGAGATTGCAGTTTGTAGTCGTTCAGCGAACGTTTGTCATGCAAACGAGTTCAAAGAGAGAAAACTCAATACTACGCGCGATTCGCTCACAACGTGCGTTGAAGTGAATGAACTCGTTTTGGAAACGAGAATGCTTTGAATTCAGCATCACCCCTAGAATTAACCACGCATTTTATCTGCTTTATTTCGATATTATGCTACAATTTTCAAAACTCGAAGAATTCTAAAACCATTCTTATCTACAATAAAAGCGGAAGAGAAACTTATATTCAATTATGTATTTTCTGACATTTTCATGTATTTCAGAGTCTTCGGTGGAAATTGGATATCTTATTTATGTATAATCCGATTTAATAAATATTGCCTAAAGTATATATATTCAGTTCAGTATGTAAATTACAATTTTGCTTTACATTTCTTTATACTGTATAAACAAGATTTTTAACTTTCTTGTATAAATAAGATTAAAAACAAAATATTTATAGCTAATACAAAATAAAATTCTTTAAATTTTATCAGCTTTAGTTATAAATAATTAAATGTTTTGAGTACTGCTGTATTTATAAAAAACATAACAATTAATTCTTTTATCAAATTTTTAAGTATTTATAATTATTAATATGTAGATATCAATTATAAAAGAGTAATAGTATATTTACCCAACATTAGCTTTAGTTATATATTCATTATCAGTCAAATGACCCGAATCCAGTTCGTGAATTATCTCAAAATCTGTCTCTAGGTCGTGAGTGGTAATAGGTCTTGCCTAAATAAATAATTGAAATTTTTAAATTGTGATTTAATTGATTTTGATTTATAAAAACTTGATAATGAATTAAAGAAGCTTCATGATTAAATGAAAAACAAATATTTTCTTTAGTAAAAATATAATTGTTAAAAAGAATGTTAAAGTAGCAATGGAATTATATAACAAATTAAAAATATGGAAAATAAATAAAATATATCGCTAATCATTCAAAATATAGAATAAATTCAAAAGAATTTCTTATTGGTATTACCTGCAAAAGATAAATTTGATTATTTACAATCGCCCATTCAATATCTCTCGGGTTTCCAAAGCATTGTTCAATCTGATGAAAAACAAAAAACGCCGTTAAATAATTTTATCTCTAAAAATTGTTCTTTTATAGAAATCATTTAATAGAGTTTAACCTACTAAAATAGAAACATGCCCTATTCTTAATGCATCTTCAGGTTGTAGGCAGCATAACTTTGCTTGCTCTTCTGTAACATTTTCAGTTATTGTACCTCCTCCACCTAAATTAAGAAAAAAATAACATTATTTTTATGTTTTCAATTGTACAATACGTTTTATTTAAAACGAATGTACTGTACCTGACATCTGAATTTTTATACGTTTTTCTCCAATTGTCTGCGACTTGATGAATAATGTATTATCAAAGTTTCTTTCTAGTATAACTGTATCGGGTTCACTGGAAGCCGATACTACAGACTTAAATGGAATAAACGTTTTTTTTTCTAAATATTAATATTTACAAGAGAGAAAAAATTGATCAGCTGATATATTTAATATCAATAAATACCTCTCCTAAACCATAATTAGCTGTAATGGTGATATATGCTGGATTTCCTGTTACAGGATCACATGTAAACGCAACACCTGCAATTTGAGCAGGTACCATTTCTTGTACTACTACAGCCATATTACTGTCTAAAATTTGGCCCGTTTGTCTATGATAAAAAAATATCAATTATTTAATTACGATTGTTATAATTACTTTAAAAATTTACACTTTAATTTTAAGTTACATTTACAAAATTAATTTTCGAATTAAATAAAAAGTATAATATAAAATAAATACCAGACGTATGTTGATGTATGGGCCCTTTGTGACCATTTATTGGATCTTACTGTATAACATAGTCTTGGGATTCATTTCAAGATTCTGGGATTGGCTGAGGAGTGAATAAAAGTCTCGAAATGCATCCCAAGATCATGTTATACAGTAAGATCCAATAAAAGGTCACAAAGGGCCCATACATCAACATACGTCTGGTATTTATTTTATATTATACTTTTTATTTAATTCGAAAATTAATTTTGTAAATATAACTTAGAAGTTTGTACAGTCAATAAAGTGTCACGAAGGGCCTATACGTCTGGTGTATGTTTTACGCATGAACTAGTACAGTATATTTAAAACATTAAATTACAAATACTGTAAATGCAATTTATGTCGCTCGATTACGCCATCCATAATATGTATGTAATATTAATTATTATTTTTACTATGTAACTTAAAATTGAACATTTCTATAGCACAGTTTTTACGTGGTTTCATATTTATTTAATTCATTTACCTTTTATAATTTACAGCAACGTACGAAAATTGAGAACTCCAACACTTAACCACATGATGAAATATCTAAAAATATATTCTTTATGGTCTTTAGATGCTTATAACAATAAATACTGTATTACTTTTTATAATAGAATAAAAATTTACTCATTGCAAAATTATGAGATAAGAGACGTAAATAAATTATCCAGAAACGTATAAATTTAAATAACGTTAGTTCAGTCTGTAGTAGATTGGTGTATATTGCAGCAATAACTTTTAAAATAACGACTGCCATCGTATTCAAGAGAATTCTTTGGAGATAAACTCTTACCTGATCAATGGAACGGATGCCAAGATATGTATCCATCTGGCCTGCTGCGGAAGTCTCTAAGCTATCTTCTCCTGAATCAGTCAATTAATTTTATTTATTATAATTTATGATGATTTAGTATCTTTAAATTAAAACCAAGATTTTAAATTTTGTTCTTTTCGTAATTACCAGAAGCCGAAGAGCGCACTGCAAATGGTACATTCTGAAATTCTTTAGAAAATACTTCTTCCAGTTTATATTTAATCGCTTGTTTGATATTCTCAGAAAGAGTCGTCTTAGAAAACTCATCAGTTAATCTTAAAATATTACAATAATATACATTTAAAATTTATTTACTAAAATTAAAATATTATAAATAAGTTAAATTATGTTTACGATTAAGTTACTTACTCTTTGCATGTTTCTTCTAATTTTTTAGGATTTCTACAACTGTTAAAATATTATTAAAATATGGTCATAAAACATTACAATATCAATATTATATCGAATAATGTGCAATACTTCAAATATAACTTAAAACCTAAATTTTATAGACTAAAATATAGTAATGATAGGTCATGAGTCAATAAATTTACTTTTATCTCAATAACATTTGCTAGAAACTAATTATTTTATCTGGAACAGATACTTCAACAGTCGAAAGCAAATGAAAATTGCTCGTAAATTTAATTGAGTACATTTTTAATTAATTAATTACAAATGAAAACACTACTGGTTATAAATAATAAATTCACTTTCATAATTAAATTTTGTTACTGAAAAATATAATTAATGTTTACGTATATATTCTAATATATCTTAATCTACTTAGGAATGTGGATAACAATAAATAACAGATTTTATACTTTTGTTCTTATTTCCAATATTATTTGCATAACATAGACTCACAATTTACTTATTTAAAGTAAATAATTTGACTATTAACAATTTTAAAACTCATACTTGTATAGAGATGCAATTTTTGATGATAAATTATGGCTCTTAATATGATGTTTATAAGCAGAAGTAGTAATAACTATCCCTTTCGGTACAAGAAATTTCTCTTTTATATTAGAATGGAGTGCCTGCAACAAAGTCATATAGCGTTATAATAATACAGATAAATGATAAAAAAAGTAATAGCAATACATAAATAAAACTTACGCCTTTCTGTATACTTAATAATTTACAAAGCATAGCCAAAGAACACCCTTTACCACCAGAAATTCTGTCATCTCGACATATTTTCTCATTGATATCCACAACAAAAGGTATTTCCTGATCTAATTTTAGTAAATCTAGAAAAATAAAATTTAATTATTTAATTAATCACTTTATTTTTGAATATAATTAATTATAAATTAATTATTATTTGAAAATAAAAAAGGAAATTTAATTAAAATTGAATTACCATTCTCGCGAAGTAAACAAGGATATATATGTCTCAACGGTTGTGGCATCTCAGTTTCATTTCTATTTAAAAAAAAAGTAAAACAAAATTAATTTTATTAATATTTTTCTTTCGATTTAAATATTTAAGTCATAAGGAAACAGCTTACTGTTTAATATATAAAAGAAAAAATTATATTTTGATTGAATTAATTACCTGACTCCGAATTCGATATATCCTTTCCCTTCCGTTTCTTCTAAAGTATAATTTGCGAGCCGTATACAGCTTTTAATTTCTCCATTTTCTCCATAAAACACTTCACTGTTTCCACTTAATTGTTTACAGTCGACTAGATAGCATTTTCCCGCTGAGATATTAAGAAAACATACATTTTTTTTCCAAACATATTTACTAAATTAAATCGAATTTGATCAAATATAAGAAAAATAATATTTCAATGTATCAAACCAGCTCGGAATATCAATTTGCGCTGAATATTATTTTCTTCCTTTGAAGTAATACCAAAATAACAAGACTCGATGGGATGTATGGATCGATTAGGTCGAATTACATAACCGTACTTCAAACTGCAAGATATTAAAGAAAATATCATGAATAGAATAAAATTCAAGTGAAAAAATATTATTTTGTTTTCTTACTTTGTAAATGTTCCAGGACTGTTTATCTTCCCTAAATTAAACATCGTTCCATCCTAAATATAAATAATTCTTATTAAAGAATCCTAGAACGGGTTTAAAGGTCTTAGAAATATCAAAAATTACCTTGAAATAACCATATATTTTAACATAATCCCCGATTTGGTTCCATTCCAAAACTCCTGCAAACAAAACGAGTAAGTGATTTGCATTACACTTACACTAGAGTAATTTAAGTCGAAATTTAATCTTTAATAAATTCGATTTACATTACATTTATAGCTTTTTAGCAGGAGGAAATGAAACCTGAGTAGAAATTTGCATTTCAAGTAGGATTAAATCCCTTAGTGCTAAATGTATAAAAGTAGCAATAATAAAAGTTTGTACAGTGATAAAGGAGAAAAAATAATACCTCGGTTTCTAAGACGTGGACCCCAAAGATGCATTTCTTCTTCATTGTTATCTATAGAAATTGTTCCGATATAATTTCCCCATTGCTCGTAATTGTTAAATATGTTCTTAAATCTGAAAAATTAGTAAAAATTCTGTTTTATTATTGACTTATAATTGTTATTTATACTTCTAAAAATCCTGGCTAATTGAAAAATAATGTCTTACTTGTTTAAATTACTGTAAGGAAATAAAGAAAAATTTTGACACATTGATTCTGATAATAAGGAGGAATTAAAATCGGTTTGAAAGTCGTGTGAGCTGCTGATTGACAACCATCTAAAAAATTTAAAGAGAAGACACATTAAACTTAATTTCTGAAGATAATCAATACATTGATTACTTTCGGAAACTTACAAGAAAGAAAATTTTACATGAAGCATTTCTTCTTGCGTTTTATCAGTGTTCATTTTTCTAAAATGTTAATTGAAATGTTAAAAAGAAAACTAATTATAAAGAATGTTGCATTAATTAACAGAAATTCATGAAATACTTAAGAAATCCATTGTAGCTAATTCTCCATCTTCTTAAAGCAGATAAACATTTAATTTTTAAACCACAAGAACTAAACTCGTTTGCATCGGAACTGAAGGCTCGACTATCCGGAAGAAAAGGTAACTGAAAGCTACCTTTGCCATTTAGATTTAGATGAAGAAATACTTCTGTTTTAAAATTACTTTTCCTAACGAGTCTTAATATTAGACTATCCCCTTTAAAATTAAATCCGCTCATAGACACTTCATCTATTAACTGTAATTTAAGTAAAAGAGAAAAAAATATATATCATTAAACATTTACTCTAAGTGTAATCTGTATTCAACATATACATTGAAATTATTGGAATACTTACTCCTGGTCGAAATTCATCAAATGAAATAGGTTCTTCCAATTTCTTATGCTCTTCCGAAGGAATCATCCCACTTTTATCCATTTGTTCCATTAAGGCGACACTATAATTATTTAATCTCTTTTTTTGCCAATATTTAGAGACATTAATAAAAATTTCCGTCCATTGTTGCTTCAAACAACATACAAAACCTAATCATAATAACAGTAATTAATTTTAAAAAATATATATTTAATTTTATTTAAACTCCAATTAAAATATATTAATAAAAAGTTTCATTCACAATGTAAATTTTTATTAACATTAATACAATACATTTGTTGGTTATTATTAAATTATCAAAGTTCAGTTATTCCGAAGAGAATTGAAATTATGAAAAAACATGGCGTTTATTACGATCGATAAAACAAAAAAATTTGCAGTTAAAACGTTTAACATATTAAGTTGACAGCTTTATTAAACTTGTCAATTTAAGAAAGATACTTTCTTTGATTGTCGCATTCTCCTCCGACCGGATATAATTGAACTTTGACTATAAAGAAACGTGGTACTATAAATAGCTTTTGTATCTTATCCTATCATTAAACATGGATGTGGGATTTCTCTATATACTGTAAGCATGCTTTCGGAATTGTTCCCTAATCAATAATCAATACATACAAGATTAGGTTAAACGAGGCATGAGAAGCGAAGACGGTATCAAGGGGTTTGATAATACATCTATACTGTAAGTAGTGTCTTGAGTTTAAAGTTATTTTATAAGCATAGAAAATCTATTAATTATAATTATGATCAATCTGTGTAATATCTAATTAGTAGACTTAATGTTACATTAGACTTACACATGTTTTTTATTTAAAAATCAAAAGTTGTACTTCGGTATTAAGAGAATTTTTAGTAAAATGTTTGTCGTAGTAAAACAGTTTTGGCCTATATTTTTGCTCTTGTCATAAATATAATTTATAGAATTTTCGAGATATTTCAGCTGTCGTCCATTTTCTACGAGTTTCAGAAGTTAAAGTGTTCGATCTCTAGGGTAGTGTTTCTCAAACGTTTTTCTGTGATAAATTGCACGACATAATCGGTTCTCGTAAATAAATATTTCTAAAACTCTATTTACTAGACATCTATATTTTGAACTATTTTTTATTGTCAATAAATAATAGATTTTAGTGAAATTTTTAGAAACTACTATACTATCATAAAATTAATTTTTATATACTATTATAAATCTGTCAACAAGTTTCATTCAAAATATAATTACATAGTTGTATTATATTTCGAATAAAACTTGTTGTCCTAGAACAAAAAAGTTATTATGTAGAGGTCTAATATATTATATCTCGTATTAACATTTCTTATATTTTATATATTAATATTTAGAAAAAGTGCGCTATGTTTTATGTTTCGGTGAAAATTTTGATAAAAAATTATAGCCTAAAATAAATCATTAGAAATCATATTTCATCTTACTTTTTATTTCCTAACTGTTTATTTGACATTATTTTAATGTTTAATGCAAATCGGTTTTATTTTTCAAACATTTTAAAATAATTTATATCATAAGAATTTATCTTGTGTAGCCCTAATAGATTTAAGGGAAAATAGTTTTTTTGACATAACTCTTTCCTTTATAGTTCTATAATATATTAAATACACCATAAATAATTCATATTTACATATTATCTATTTAAATTTTTTCAATAATCATTAATTACCTAAAGATTTATTAAAAACAATTATTTTTTTTATTTTAATTGAGAGAACGTGACGATTCATCCTTTTTATCATCGAGAAAAAGAAAATAAAGAAGAAAAATATTAATGTAAACTCGAAATTCTATAATATTTTTTAAAATTTCTTGTATCAGAAATAATTAGTACTCAAAATTGTTTTATTGTAATAATGAGAATCGAGAAAATATGAACTTTAATGTCAAATCTGATCTATATCTGTTAATAAATCTAAGTCTACTTATTAAATTTAAATTTACGTCAAAAAACACGTAATAAACAAAGAAATAGTATTAAATTAAATTATCGTTATAATTATTTTTCATTAAAAACATATGATTATAAAAACGCAAAATTGAACAATGTTACTAGTATTATATAAAACACACAAAAAAGGAAATTATTTTATTATATATTTTATTATATTACACTGTAGCAGACAGTATTTTCTCGTGTCATTTCTAGAAATACTCTGCAGCATTTTTACTGCAACTATTCATACCGCGTACATCGCACAACGACCGAACTGTCGCCTTATTGTTTATATTCCCTAATCTCCGAAAATATATTTTTTTGTTATATCTGCTTTTCGTAGAATGTGAACTTTGCTACAAAATTGATTCCTTGATATCGCGCGTGCTCTAAGCGTAAAAATAAAAATAAAAATGATACAACAGTACAGTTTTCCGAGAAATATGATTGAACTATTTTCAATAAAATAACATGTCACACTTTCATAGAGAAAAGTTTTTCTTTGTCCGACGAAATATTGTTGCTTAGAATGGAGTGAAGATATCTTTGGATAAAAATAAACAAACGTTTTGACATTTTAAGTAGGAATTTGATTTTCCTGACTTTAGAAACTGTCTTATTTCGATGAAATTTAAAAAGTTATTCATGCATTTAAATCGACTTACAACTTTTTAAAATGTTACAATTTAATAATATAGAATTTTTATTTTATTTTAATTGTAAACGAGGTTATAACCAATCATTACTTAGACTTAATTATTAATTAATAATTAATAAAAAAGAAAGAAAAATATCTTAACGTTATGAAAACAGCATGCGAAAATATTCAAGTATTAGAGCTTATAGCAGATAAAAACCAGATGCAATTTAATTTTAATTAATGGAAGTAAAATACGGTAGTGGTAAAATTGCATAAGATCCTTAATATTAAATAAAATAGCTAAGTTGATCTTGTTATCTATTGTCTAAATTTCTGACTTTTAAAATACTTCTGATTAAAGTATTTCATGGTAATTTTATTTAAAAATTTTTTAAAATAAAATCATATTTTCATAGTATAAATTTTTGTTTTTAAAAGGAAGATTTAGACACTTGCAATATATTGTCGCGAGTTCTTTTCCAAACTCCATCCTGTGGTCTTTTTTCTATATTTATCGCGGTTTCGGCCAGGCCCACAATAGGGCAGACACGAGATGAAGGACGGAACAGACCGCCCATGAAAAATTCCTGAAGTTTTTCTACTGCTCGAATTCGATCTCGGAAGCAGTAGAAAAACTTCCGGAGCAGTAGGTTAACGCCTTAGCCGCCTCGACCATCCGATTATCTGTCCGGGTACTAGCAATCCAGCAACTGAATTATATAAACTGAATAAACTGAATGAAATAATATAAAATGCATCGTATTCAGTTCAAAATATAAAAATCGTACGTGTTTCGGGAGAAGGTAAAAAAAAAAAACAGATTAAAAGGAATGATTATAACAAGAATATTTGATGCATAAGATAAGATAAAACTAATTGAAAGATCTCTAGTTAATCAATGAAAGTCGCTTCTTAAATTAATAAACGAAAACTGGCTTAATCGAAGAATACTTTTCATAGAGAAGATAAACATTATTGAGGCAGAAATACTATCAATGACTCTACTTAGGTTATTACAAAGTTTTCAAATGAGAAGTAGCTAAAGCAATTTATCTTTTTTCTCTAATGAATATTTTGTTTATTAAATTTAAATTGAGCAATTAATGATTTAATCCAGAAATTGGATACACTTGAAAATGTTGATATCAATAACTGTATGCACATGTTATTAAACCTTTTAAATATTTAAAACGTAAAATTTTATATTTGATGTTTAAATGATTGCAGTGTTTAATAATCACAATTACTTAGGCTTTATCTGCTGGAATATTTGATTGGTTTGATACTGTTTTGTAACGAATAAATTGAATATTTATTTTTGAAACATAAGATTAATTAAAAGTATCCGAATCCATTTGTTAAATTAACTTTTTATAAAATTTCATACGGATGAAAAGCTACAATCTAAGTTAATGATAAAGTTGCTTTTCCCGCTTAATTTAACATAAAATAATATTACTTTATATTTTAATTTTTCTAATTGTTTAGTTCTAAATAAAGGATCGGAATTGAAGAGAATAAAATTAGTAAAAAAATATTAAATTAATCAAAACAACTTTGGAATAATAGTAAAAATGCCTAACAAAGTATGAGAAGTACAGCGTTTGTAACAATCGATTGCAAATCCATTACTATTATTTATATGTATTTTAAATCTTAATTAAGATGCAAACAAAATATATAAAATTTCAAGAAATCTTTATTAAGTACATTACAGAAATACGAGGAACTGCATTTCCGGCAGATTTAAATAATTTAAAATAATATGTATGTAAATTATCACACAGCAGATTGTTATTAAAGAAAAATATAATTCAGGATAAATTCTAAAGTTTTACTTTCGAATTTATTAAGAGTAAAATTATAAAAATTATATTATAATTAAATGAAATATTGGAATAATTTAAGAATTTTGAATATTTGTTATATCTCAATAATTCATTTATATCAAGTTTGTAAGAATTTTGTAAAAAACGTAACAATTTAAACATGTTTTTCATGAAATAATTGGATAAAGTTTTTAGTGTTTTACCATCAATACAAAAGTTAAAAAATAAATAAATGAAATTTTTATCTATCATTTTTAAATTGCAGTTTACATTAATAATTTATTGTAGTATAATATACATAGTAGAATTATTAAAAATGAAAGATTTATATAACAAAATGACGAAAATTGAAAACAAATGTGTAATTGATGTTAAAATTTTTGTTTCATCCACAAGAATAGTAATTTGAAAAAGTAATAAAAAATTTTAAAAAATAACGTGATATAAAAATGTAAATAAATTAAATTTCTTTGAATTATTGCGTTGTCGTATGCTATTAAGAATTCAAAATTAGATTCCCTAATTAAATGCGAAAGTTAAAATAAGAGTATATCCCTAATAGTCGTAATAAAAGTAGCTTTCATATAAATGAAGTCGATTGATTTAAATTTTACTTTTAGTTTAAGCATTTTGAGCAAAAATATACGTGGCATATGTATAGTCAGTGGAAGATTTTTCATTGGGTTCACTAGGTCGGGCCTAGAGGCGCAAGAGTTTGAAAGGGCGCACAAATTCAA